GCTTTGAAGGTGCAAACTGCTGAGGTGGTGACCATGGAGTGCTGGGCTAGGGTGAAGAAGGCCGTCGACTTCTTTAACAAACTAGAGGTCGAGATGGCGGCGAAGAATGAACAGCACCAGAGGGAGGTTGAAAGATTGATGAAGGAGGCCGAGGAGCAAAGGGTTGCTTTTATTGAGAGTGAGACCACTCACTCAAGGAATCAAGGACGCCGAGGTTGTTGCCATTGATAAATATAAGGCCTTGGTGGAGTTTAATAAACTAAAGGAGGACCTCTATTCCACTACCTTCCGTAAAGGCTTCAAACTTTGTTGCTGGTTGGCTAGGCAGGTGTTCCCCGAGCTCGACCTCGGAGCTGTCACCATCATGGGCGTTACTACGGAGATGGTACTTGAGGCCGATGAAGACCCAGACTCCGAGGAGGAAGATGATGACTTCAACGAGGGAGCTGTGGAGGACAACCAAGATGCTGCTGCCAAGGAGGCCATGGACACCAATGAAGTTAAGGAGAATTCTGCTAGTACAGAGGATGGGGTAGAGGATTCCCATGTTTACTGATTACCCTTGGCTCTTTTCTTGGACCCCCCTTGTACAACATCATGTACCGAGCCTCCAAGCTCGGTCTAGTTGACCTTTCTCTTCTCTCTTTTTTCTTTTTTTTTTGATGTGCAAATTCATTGCATTTTAAAGTAATGAAATACAACTCTTCTTTTAACCACCTCGCATACAACAATTTTCCTCATAAAAAATATTCTAAGTGTAGGTTCACCCGAGATGCCCAAATTCTAGACAGCTAGGCATGGTTTGGGGTAACCCGAGGTAACTATGAGTCGAGGCGAGTAGGCACAGTAAGGTATATGACCTGACTTGCCTATGCGCCAATAAGGCATAAATAAGGTTTGCTCGCGCTGCCCATGTGTTAAGAAAGTGACTTGGGTCTTATTTTATCGTGGCACCGAGGTCGTTACTAGCTCGACACTAGGGCCCTTAGACTTAGAGTAACTCGTGGTCCACTCTTCGTCATATTATTTAGTTGATGGCCTCCGTAGGACACTGGGCAGTTCTATAGGGACCCTCTCAGTTTGGTCTAAGCTTACCGACACCGGGCTTAGGTACCATTACTTTCCAAAGTATGAGGTTGTCAACTCAGAAGTAGCATCACTTGACTCAGGCATTGTAGTATCGAGCTACTTGTTGCTGGTAGGCCACAATCTAGATATAAGCTAGGTCGTGTACTTCTTCGATTAGGTCGAGGTTGGTCCGCAGTTCATCGTCATTGGCATCTTCGTTGTACGCCTCTAGCCGTAAGGTTGGTACTTCGATCTCAGCTCGGATGACAGCCTCCGTACCGTACGTCAGGTTGAACGGGGTTTCTCCAATTACAGTCTTGATGGTAGTTCGGTAGGCCCATAGGACACTGGGCAACTCGTTGATTCACAAACCCTTAGCTCATGAAAGTCGAGCTTTGAGTCTGCGGAGGATCGCCCTATTCATCACCTTGGCCTGACCGTTCTCTTGTGAATGCACCACCAACGTGAAGCTCTACTAGATCCCCATCTCAACACACCAATTATGGAACTTGGTATCTCCAAACTATTTCCCGTTGTTGGACATCAGCACCTTCGAGAGTCCGAATCTGCATACAATGTTCCTCTAGAAGAAATTCTGTACATTCCGGGTTATGGTGGTCACCAATGGTTCAGCCTCCACCCACTTTGTGAAATATTCAACCACCACGACCAAGAATCTTCTCTACCCAGTTGGAGGTGAGAATGGACTGAGGATGTCTATCCCCCACTGGGCAAAGGGCCACGGGCTGGTAAGATACTTCAGGTCGACAGCAGGTTGGTGAAGGATGTTGGCATGCCTTTGGCAGTTGTCACACTTCTAGACGAGCTCGAGTGCATTTACCTTCATTTTAGGCCAGTAGTATCATTGCCTTAGCGCTTTTTGGGCGAGCACCCTGCCCCCCAGGTGTCTTCCACAAAGACCTTCATGGATCGCTTATACAACCACCCACCAATGATGACATAGCGAGCTGACTGATGCTCTACCCTCCAAGCTGCATTCCATTTTGCAGGTAGGGTCCCATGGAGTAGATAATCAATAAGCGGGTCGACCCAGCTCGGTTCTGCTGGAAACACGGGTACAACCACTTTTATTGCCCTGACAATGCTAGGCCACGATAAGTCTTCAATGTACGTCGTCTTCATGGTGATATCGCTCATATTGGCCGACATAGAAAGCGCATCGGCTTCAACATTCTCCGATCTCGGTACTTGCCGAATGAACCAAGAGTGGAAGCCGGGTAGAAGTTCCCTCACTTTGGCCAGATAAGCCATCATGGTGGGTTCTTGAGCCTTGTACTCACCATTCACCTAGTTTACGACTAGCTGAGAGTCGCTGCATACCACGAGGTGCTTCGGGCAGACCTCCTTGGCTAATGTCAGCCCGGTTATCAGTGCCTTATACTCCACTTCGTTGTTCGACACTTTGAATCCAAATTGGAGAGTGTACTCTAACTTCACCTCACTCAGTCCATACAGTATGAGTCCAGCTCCGCTTCCTTGTTGATTAGACGAGTCGTTGACGTGGTTGATCCAGGCCTCCTCATCCTAGGCTAGGGTTTCCCTGGCCAGAACTGGTGTCGCATTGGTTAAAGCCTCCAATGAATTGGTTGGCTCAGTCACCTCAAGGGCCGACACACTGAATGTACATTCGGCGACGAAATCAGCCAAGACCTATGCTTTGATTGTTGGGCGCGGCTCGAACCGGATGTCGTATTCGCTTAGCTCGATGGCCCATTTTGTGAACCGCCCTGAGACCTCGGGATTTTGTAGGACGTGCCTCAGTGGTTTATCATTTAGGACGATAATAGTATGGGCTTGGAAGTAGGGGCATAGCTTTCGAGCTGCAATGACTAGTGTGATGGCCAACTTTTTGATGTCGGGGTACCTGGTCTCAACTTCTTGCAAAAACTTACGGATATAGTAGACAAGCCTTTGGACCCGGTCTACTTCTTTTATTAGTATCGAGCTGACTGCCTTGTCACTTGTAGAGAGGTAGAGTTTTAGCTTGTCTCTAGGTTTAGGTCGGGTTAATACCGGGGGTGAACTTAGATACCTATTGAGCTCGTCAAACACGTGTTGGCACTCTTCAGACCACTTAAAGCCCTCGTTCTTTTTTATAGCCTTAAAAAAGGGCAAACACCGACCAACCGACTTAGATATAAATTGGTTCAGGGAGGCAATTCGGCCAGTTAACCTTTGTACTTCTTTTATTGTCTGTGGTGGTTTCATATCTAAGATAGCTTGAATTTTATCCGGGTTGGCTTTGATAACACGCCAGTTCACTATGTAACCAAGGAATTTGCCCGATGTGACCCCGAAGACACACTTGTTCGGGTTGAACTTCATGTTAAACTTTCTTAGAATTTGAAAAACACAATTTAAATTATCAATCTTTTTTGGACCTATTGTTGTGTTTGGTTGTTGTGCAATTTTATTCGCACTAATACAAATGCATGGGAGTGCAAATGAAGAAAATGCAAATTTTAGTATAATTTTGTTTTGGATTTTACTTTATTCTGCTTCATGTCTTAATGTACTTCATTTGTACTGCAATCAAACAAAATAAGCTAAAATTTGAAACAAAGATATGTCAAAAATTACACTCAAATCATTTGCACTGCCATAGTTTTGCATCAGTGCAAATTTATTTGTATTGCAATCAAACACAACCTATATGATTGTAATATTTTCTCTTCTATTTAATGTATATATTTTGTTTGCCTTCCAAAAATAGTGAAGTCTAATTTTTTAATGTTTTTTTTTTACAAAAAGAAGCATCTTAATAAGAAGAAGCAGTTGGCCTTTACATGCGGTGTAGGCTAAAATATAAGCAACTTGATTTCTTTTATTTAAATGGACAAAAAAGATGGAAGAAAGAGATTGAAGGAGCTCATTGATGTAGTTACAATGTAATCACTTGACCTATTCACTAGGCATTTTCCCGTATTTCCAATCCTTTAATAAAAGCCTTTATTTCAGCATGATAGGCGGAGAGGCCCAACAAGGTTGTCCGTTAGCAAACTCATGCTTTTATGTGTTTATATACTAATTTCTTTTTATTATTTTCTTATTTGTTAGAGTTTAATCAACACAAACATTGCTAACTGTTGCATTGAACCATCAAAGTATCAATACACCTCTGTGTATCAATAGAGGTGTATATATATATAATTGGTCCCTGAAAACACCTGTAAACATGTGTATTGGGACCCCAAAGATACAATACAATACACCCAATACAAAGCATTATCATATCAAAATTTTGATCCTTGATTGAACCCGCAAAGATTTCAAAACCTAAACCAATAAGCAAGGGAAGAACTTAAAATTGTCTAATCAACACATTTTCTTCTTCCACGACTTCTTCTTCCACCTTTTCTTTTCTTCTTTCCCTATAACAAAAGTAGGGATTCAGCCCCTATATTTTTTGAATTTTCTTTCCTTTGTTCTTTTTCTTCTCATAAAATGTTGATTTTCTAGACTTAAACATGAAAATTAGACTCCTCTTATGAAAATTATGGATAATTATTAAGGAAAGATGGTTATGGAACCTTGGGAAACCCTAGGATCTATGGTTTTACATAAAAAAATCCATCGCCTAGGTGACTAGGCAACAAGGCACCCCCCTGTCGCCTAGCCTTGCCTTAGCGCCTTGAAAACTATGGTAAGCAGTAACTTTGTTGACTAACTCCATTGGTGACAATAACATGTTCTCAAAAATAAGTTTGTTTCTGGCTTTTCAAATTATATGGAGAATACAGTGTAATCCTAGTTATTCTTTTGATACATTTTGTAACAATGTGTAACGATATGTAACAGTTGAATATGGATTTGTGGCAGTCAAATATTGATCTATGCACCAAGAAAAATGTGATTGAGACAGTAGAATTTATGTGAAGCCACCCTTGTTTTACTATTGCCACATATCAATATGTTCAAAAACTGATTCATGTTGGACCACATTGAGCATAAATACATTATACTGAAGACTATGGCTGCAAACAGTATCCCCTTATCCAAAACATATTGATATTAAAAAGAGAATTAGACCACAAACAACACAGATAATTGGATCATCCAATGACAATTGATTTCTCTTTGTAGGCATTTTCCACTTAGATTTGGCTCATCTCATGGTTGCCCCTGATACTACTAGCGTGTTTGTGTTTAATTGAGGGATGAGCACAGCAGATGTGATTGCCTCTTCCTCTTATCAGTAATCACAATTGGAGTCTCTAGTCTTTTTCACACTATTTATTGAGCAAAGGTAAACGGTTCCTGCATTTTAACAGATGAGCAGCACACTTCTTTCCCACTTGAGAATAAATCCAGCAAAACTTTTGTGTAAGAGCAAGACAAGGAACATGGTGACAAGTTGTTGGATCTAATGAGACCAATAGCAATAACTATCAACCAATCTCTTGTAACAGTTTTTCAAGCACTTCAGGTGCAATAGGTATGTAGAGGCAGTCCTGGCCATCAGCATTCCTTCTGGTTTTCACCAACTCATGATCTTTGAATTCTGTCAAATGAGAATTCAGTGTCATCTGGCTACTTACTAGAAAGCGTTCCCGACAGATTGTGTACAAACTGCTGACTGGCATTCCTGAGAAAACATTTCATGTGGAATTAAAGAATCTTTAACACCCATATGATTTAGTATAAGATTATGATACCATCAGTTTCTAGCCACTTACCCTCATCTTCAGCATGGGCCAGTTGATGTTCACCAAGAACTCTGAACACACTCTGTGCATTTGGTGTCAGGCTCTGAAGAACTATTGAAGCAGTTTTGGCACTTTGAGCAGTCCCACCACTGGCAAGAATCAGAGGGAAAAAGATCCCTTCAACCTTGTAAGGTGCAAAAGTAGGGACATGATACCAGCACCAGCTGAACTGTGTGTGAATCATCTTCTTGTTCCACACTAGCATAAACCAGGAAAATCATTAGCTTAATGATCTGGATCAATTAAAAAGAATAGAAAATCCAACTTTAGTAGACCTGAGATACATATTACCACTCAATTCTGTGATGCAATTAATTCTGCAATCTGATAGAAGATGAAAAGTGATGGTCTCCTTTATTTCTTGGTAAAACCATATTTCTTGATACATTAGAAGATGAAAACTACCATCTTAAATTGGACCTAGACCAGAAAGTTGAAGAATCAAAAAGTGGTCTCCTTTATTCCAATGGGAAGTACAAGATGAAACCATCTTCCATGCTGGTCTGACAAACATGGAATTCATGCATGAGTATGGAGCTACCAATTTACAAAATATAGTTCAAAACCTTTCATGGTAGGAAGACATCAATCATCACATTTAGCCACACCTTCACTGTATCATTAACTTCAAGCTAAATAAAATCAGACAAATAGAATTCTGACATTCTTCAAAAATGGCATTTGAAAATTTACATTTTTTAACCTTTTTTCTGATCAAAATAAAACTTTGGCTTTTAAACAAATCCAAAATGAAACTAAGGCATCTTAGCTCCCCATTCCCCAACTTCCCCAGGAAAAAAAAAGAAACCAAAATGTCACTGTATATAGTGGTCTACTATAATTGCAGAATGCTATGGTTGTAATAGCACAAAAGAAAAAAGGAAACAAAACAATCACAAAGAAAGCACAAGACATAAGAGAGAGAGTTTCCATAACAAAGATTTCCAAAGTACAAAATAAGTCTGCTACTAACAAAACTGATTCTGATTTCAAAAATACTAGGAAAGCTAGTTTTGAGGCAAAAATCCAATGTGATTATCTACTTTGGACCATCAACTCCACATAGAAAACCATATAATTTTAAAAGTTAAAACAAACAAATATAGATGCATTTATGCTTGGTAGGTGCTAAACTCAACTTTCCCCTTCTCATCCATCTGAATTCTAGTCATCCAGGCATCTCTTTTTTCTTTTAAATCTAGGACTGGATTCCAGACATGAAATGATGAGTCAAGAGAAAAAAGGCAAAGGAAAAAATGAATAAAGGAAGATAGATAAAAGTTTGACATCTTTCTTTCTAAATCAAGTATGGAGCCATACAAACTAAATATAAGACCTTCAGTGGTCATACCAGAGAAGTAATATTCTTATGCTATGTGATGTGTGATGTAGGATCAAAAGAACAAGAAAAAAACAAGAAAATAAAAAAAAAAATCCAACACTCAGCATGTACTCTTATCTAGCCTCTAGGAAGCAACATGCTTTCTCCAATTATGATTTGAAGCTCAAGCTATTCACCTAAATCTTTCTTTCCAACATGCTTCTGCATCCTACATCACACTGCACCCAAGAAAGGAAGCCAAAAGCAAAACTGCAAAGGAAATTTGAATAGGACATTCAACTAAAAAAATCTATCAGGGTTGTCAACAAGCTAAGAATTGGGCTTGGCCAGGCATAATCCAGCCTCATTCCAGTTGCAAGTATATGTCTTTCATCCCTGTACAATGGCTAAGAGGCAGAATTCTAGGCCACAAGCCATGTGAAAAGCAGACTAAACCAAAAGCTTACAAGGCTGTGCCCATGCATAGCAGTATTGCATGGACAAGGACATGAGAATCAGGATCCAAAGTGTGTCTAGGAATCTGATTTGGCAAGGTGAAAAATAAGAACTCATAGACACATCTAGGAGCAAGTATAAACTATTAAAATACTCTACATTTTGTTGAATTTTGAACATTATAATCATACAAAAAAGTTTTTAAAAGCTTACTTTTAATACTTAATAGCATTTTGTAGGAAAAATGACATTAATGTGTGCATTAATTGTTAATTTCCACCAAATAAACAATAAGAGAAGGAAAAGTATCACGTAGAAGTGTCCCTCAAGAATCCATAGAGTGTCAGTGTTTGATGCATGTCTGATACAGACACTTCATTTAGGAGAGTCCATGCAATACTGATGCATAGACAATCTAAAGATACTAGGTAAAGAAATTAAACAATATAACAGTGTTAACATACTCTTCGTGAAATTATTTGTACTGGGCAGCATAGCACTTACATAGAGGTGCATTTACATTATCAATAGATGCAACCATGCGAACATGACGACATGATGCAATTCGCGCAAGACAATGTTGTGATTCACAATCACGCAATCCAGGTCCATCAATGTTGTGGATGATAAGACAGACAAAGCAGTTGTTGTCATCTATATCTGATCCATCCAAAAATGTAAGAAGATCATCCATAGATTGCGAGCTAAAAGGTTGCTGAACCTTAGAAATGTTCCCTGTAGGAGTCCTTCGTTTGGTCTTCAGTTGATCTTTCAGAACTTCAGCAATGGTGATCACAGCCTACAAATGGAACATCCACATTTTATTGCATTATAAGACAAAATTCTTATTCAGAAATTTAGAGTAGTTCACACCAAAAATGAGTGTAGCAAGTAATAATCTATACATACATTTTAAAGAAGATAAATGAGTTGAGGGCCATGGACATTGATCACTATACATTGTCATGATTCAAGACAATACTTAATATATTCTATTACATAAAAATTAGTGAGACTTCAAGCCTACATAATATAGTTTAAGTTATGAAGATTTAACTCCAAGATCACAGAAGCAACTTTTAATGTGGTGGACCAACTAAATATGTTGTTCTATAGATCAGAATCCAACGGCATGATGATCCACCACCCTTGAGAACTTATTCAAAAACCATATCATATATGACCTTGAGTATAATACCACTCAACTCAAAAAGAAAAAGCCATTCACACAATAGATAAGTAGATAAATGGTGTGAATCTAACAGAACATGACAATGCATCCCAAGATAATGCAATATCATAATCAATAAGCTATGTAGAACATAAATAAAATCCTCCAAACTACTCTGTCATCGTTTACATTGTTCAATACCAAATTCCACACAGTTTAATAATTCATATATACAGAAAAAAAAACATAGTTTTCCATATGTATTTAATGTGTCATCCACTAGTTAATAAAAGAAGAAAAAAATGGAATGTTATGAAAGTGACTCTATAAAATAAACAGATAATCAACTGGAGCCAGTGAGATATCTATCCTGTTCCAGGGCTTGACATGGTTTCAATAACTTGGACAAAGTGCATGGTCAACTGTTTATCAATTTCAAGACTATTATCCATGTTCTAAATTTATCAAATAAACAGCTAACCTGGCATCCTAACTATTGCTTTTTGGTACTAAACTTAAACTGGCTTAGATTAAGGACTATATGTCCACACTTCTTCAGGCAGATCCCTAACAGCTAGGATACCTACATACCTGAATGTAGGTGCCATGTCATATCAAACACTTAAAATTTTAGTGTAAATTCAGTGTCCAAACCTTGTCTACCCATGTCCTTGGCATGTTTGGATATCATTATCCAACAGTAAATAAACAAATAAGATGTTATACACAAAATGGATGATTGTTCTCATTGTATACAGTTCAAGAACTTAAGTCAGCAAGTTAAATTGTACTGATCTGAAATTTATATTCACTATAACAAGAAAACAGCAAAGGATCAGCAGTGGTGCATTACATGTTTAATATTGATTGACTGCAGATAGCCATTGATCACTACTACTCCACTGTCAGTCAATGCTGTTGAAGCAAAATCTTCAAGCAAGACTTTCTTAGAACCAAACCCATACATTAAAAGGCCAAAACCGCACCTGCAGAAAAAAAAACATAGAGATCAGAATTGTCAGACTTGGAATGTACTTGATGGTCTGCTTGTCAGAACCAGGAACCAGCAGCCAAGACAGTTCTTAGACTTCCTGGTTGTTAGAACGTTGACTTGATCATACCTATGTAAAATAAATGTGTCATTACCTATTGTAACCTATAATATTTACTGTTTCAAGCTTATTTTGATAACAAAACAGATTTAAAAGATAGTATGGAATAATTTTCTCTTTTTTTAATTTAGCAAGTTGAATGATTGAACTGGATGACCAGATTGTCCAAACCATGATCGGTCACCAAAACAGTTGTCTCTGGCTCGAGTCTGACAACATTGACAAGATAGTAGAATCAAACATAACATTAATAAATTTGACATAGTAACAGTCCAGTTTCAATTGAATTCAAATATGCTGTTTATGAAACAAGCTTGGAAGCTATTGGGATGATATAGACAAGTGTCATCAACAACTGCTACCGCTGTTTTTTCATGCCACTTAATTGTCCTATTACATTAATAAATATGGACAGTCTGGATTTTTCATGCCACTTAATTCCATGAGAGGAAGTACCCGCTACTGCAGGCATGAAAATCCACAGAAGCACAAACATCTAAATTTGGCTATATTCGTTGCCTATGTGTAAACATTAGCAGAAGAAAAAGAAAAGAAAGAAATATTGGAAACGAGTAACACTCAACCTGTAAGAATGTCGCTAATAATAGTCACTTTGTACCAAGCCACAAAAATAAGTTTTTATAAATAGGGCTGTCTCTCTACCAGAAATACACACATATTCAGGAAATCGCGGGAATCAGAGCAAACTAACGTCTGGAAATTATGGAACAATTGCATTTGCATCACACGGAGAACATAATTACTCGAGTAGAGGCAAAAGCATACCTTAGCTCAAAAACCCATTTGGAGTATAAGCTTTTATAACTTTTCAGCAAAGATGTTATCTCATTCTCATGTTTAGTTACAATACCGGCTGACACAGCCCTAAGTTCCTGCCATTGGAAAGTTCAACATGTCAACCAGACATAGACTTCCACTTTCAACAGAAAGAATGCCAACAAACATAGACATACGCTCGCAGTCAAGAGAGAGAGAGAGAGAGAGAGAGAGAGAGAACCTGTTCATCAACGATGTTGATATCAGAGAGCTTTCGTGCCGATTTCCTTGAGGACCCGCCTAATTCTTTTGCCAGAAAATAGTTCCTAGAGAATCCAAACTCATCCTCGTCGCCGTCGTTCAAATCCATTAGTGTTAGGCCGGAAGTAAAGTGCCGAGAAACCCTAATGCGATATCGATATGCCCCTGTGGGTCTGAGAGACTCTGAGATCAATGCATCGTTTTCCCGCGTTTTTCTTTCTTCATCGCCATTCAATAATTAAGCGGTACTCGCATCGCACGAGGGAGCGGATTGGTGGCCTTATGATGATTCCAATCTAACGTCAATAAAGTTCACTAGTCGGTTTGGACTTTTGAGACGTTGTGGGGAATTATGATTGGCCGATTTTCACGAGTAGAACTGTGGATAATTATCGCTAAAAATTAAAAATCGATCATCGCCACCCAGTCTCTTTGTTGGGCTGCGTTTGGTTGTAGCGAAATACAAAATTGAAAATTCTAGTAATGCAATGTGAAAAAAACCACATTCAAAAAGAAGAAAAAATAAAAGAAAAACAAAGTTGGGTTGTTTGGTTGTGAAGGGTGCAAATCCATAAACATTTTTTGAAGTATTTGCTTGAGTGTTTTCAACCTGTGATCTACTCGGACGGTCAAACATGGTTTTCAAATCAGATCGAACCATATGGTTGAACCGAAAAAATTGGGAACCTATCACCTTATCGGTTCTGTTTCACCCCAAAATCACTTTTTGGCCAAACACTATTGATTTGGTCAATGAACTGCTGACCTGGGCCATCGATCCGTCAACCTTCAACCTAGACAATGGCTTTTGGTCATTTTATTATTTTTTATATTTTTGTCAAAACAGGTCATCTATTTGAGCCAGATGATCAGACCATTTGACTTGGGAACCAATTCCAGAACAGTTCTCTGTCCGGTCCGATTTTAAAAACCTTTGTTCAAACCATCCTCCATCACTGTTTTAGAGTCCAATTTTCTTAAAGTTTGGGATTTGATAAAAAATCATTGACTTGGCCAAAACTTTTTGACCCTATAACTAGGTCATGGGTATGTATATGCAAATTTTCAGAATCCATAACTTTGTATTCAATTATCTAATTGAGGTTTTTTTTTTTTTTTATAAATTTTCAAGATCTACATGTTCCCTATGAGCTAAAAGTGCTCTCTTTGATATTTTTGCCAAAAAAAATGCTTGTAGCAGGGTTTGCTCACAGAATGCACCTCACACCGACCTCACAGCCCCATTCTACCATGTATTAAAATCATCTTCCATGAATAATATTACAAAGTACCAGAGATATTCCAAATGTGAGGCTGGGACGCATTGTGAGATTGGTGTGAGGAGCGGTATGTGAAGAGTGGATCCAGACTCCTTTTTAGACCTCTACCATGTAGAATGAGATGAAACGACGGCAAGCCCACATTAGTAGTGCACCTTGGGCAGGTTCCGATTGGACAATTGTTAAAATTTCAATGGGCTCAGCCCAAATGCGTATGCCCAATAAAGTGTAAACTCTTCAAATAGGATATCCAATTTGCACCCCTAGCCCACTAGCCAATATAGGGCATAGATTGGCTCTCTTGGGAGATAAGGCTGTCAATGATCTAGCTAGGTCAATACCAGAGGCCTAATCGAGTCCAAACCTTATTACACAGGGGTTTGGGCCCATGTTTTGAGTCCCAAATTATAATAGAATCAATTTTTAGGTATGCCTATCCAATCCCAACTCCCAAATATAATAGGGTTGGAATTGATTTTCTCATGGTTTACCTGCAATTAAAACTTCATATAAGATGTTTAAAATTGTTACTTTATGAGGAATATTTAAAATATATATTTTGTGAAGTGGAAGTAAAAGAATTAATTATCAAGTTTATTATCAATTTACGAGGTTAGATACTACTATTACAAGAATTGTCTTTTAATAGTACATTTCATATCTCTCTATATATATTAAAATAGAAATATGTCACATGGCCTGAGCTTTTTCTCTTACCTCAACTGAGAATTTTTAAACCCTCTTCATTTTAATCTTGTTTGCTTTGCTTCCTCATGAAATCATCTCATTACTCCCTTCTCCCTCTCTTCTTATAATGACACCTCAGTAGGACTGGCCCACTTCACAATTCCTAAGCATATTAACATTTGTTTTTCAAACCTCTTTTTCTTGCACGAAGTTAAACTTCATTGGCTATTCCCCAACAACTTCAGAGTCATGAGAAGTGAGGAAGTTTTCATTGATAAAACACCTAGAATTTCAAACATATTGGACTTCACTCCCTCTCGATGATTTTGCTGTATTTCTAGGATCGAGTTTGTTTTTGGACGTCAATTTCAAAGACAAACAACATTGTGTCACAGGCACTAGTTTCAGGGATCAACAAAGCTATGTTACAGGTATGCATTTGGCTCTACATTTGACAGAAAACAGAGACTCCGCTCCATTCTCTTTCTCAAATACAAAATAGGGGCTTTGCCCCATTCTTCTTCTTCTTAGTGTTCTCACAACTCTGAAGTTGGATTCCACAAAATTGATCCTTCAAGTGGAGAAGACAACATATATATGCAATAATTTGAGCTACCTTGGATTAGCAAAAGAAAATTGGTGGGTTGCAGGCGAGGAGCATCATGCGGCGATGCACTGAAGCGGGGAACCGTCCACGGAGGCCGAAACGAATGAGCTATTGCAGCAGAGATCAACAACCTTGAAGGCGAAGACAACATCTACGTCTCTCTCTCTCTCCTACTCTGGTGAGTCCGTTGCGCCAAGGGAGGTCCCAAGGGTTTTGCCCTTTTGGGAAGCCAAGGTTTAAAATGGAAAACTACTAATCAATGCTTGGTCCGAATAATATTTTCTCTTGGCTGCCTAAAAGTTTAAAAACTTACCCAAAAGTAATGCACCATAAGGGCAACTTTTGGGTCTTATTATCAATAAAAATAATTTTTTAACATAATTTCTAGAGTAGGGTAACTTTTTTTTTTTTTAAATATCAAAAAAGGGTAGAAACATTGTTCATTCCTCCTTTAGACCACCGAACAAATCTCCCCACCTCTAGTCTCTATCTTTCTCTTTCCTCCTCCTCCTTCTTCCTCTTCTTTCTTCTTCTACTTCTTATTCTTCTCTGCATCTGAGTTTGGAGCAAAGCTGCTATGAATTTTTCTTCTGAAACAGTTAGAAAAACACATGAAACACCATACCAAGTACACGAATCAGCACTAGAGCTGATATGAATTCTTCTATGCATCTTGACTATTGTTCATTAATAAACGGGGCCATTACGTTGAAATTATGTGACAATGGCGGGGATATTTTTGATATATAACAGGGCCGAGATCTTAGTATTATTAGTTAGAGCTTCTTATCTTTTGGTATTACTTTCTTCGCTTTCTGGTTTGCCCTCGCATACGACGAAAAAGGGGAAGAGAAAAGAAAAATAAGGAGTCGCGATGCCTAGAGGTGAAGAAAAAGAATGAGAGCATTGAGAAGAGAGAGACGAGATGCACACATGAGAGTAGAGAGGGTGGTAGGACGCAGACGGACGTCCTAGATCTCATGAGCGTATGACTGTTTGTTGACTTGTAACTTTGTTAACGAATATTGGAACCCTAATATAAATATGATGGAGGCCCATCCCAAGGCCCACCTCACCATTAGGGGCGGCAGCTCATAGGATAAGGATAAGAGTCCAAGATAAGTCAAGAAAGGATAATTCAAGATCCATCAAGACTTAATCCAAGACTCCAAGACTTATCAAGAATTCAAGAATTCAAGACTCATCAAGAATTCAAGAGTTCAAGACTCATCAAGAATTCAAGACCAAGACTCATCAAGATTTCCAAGAATTCAAGATAAGCCAAGATTCATGCATCAAGGGAGATCAAACCAAGAAGAGTTCGATCCTGTCAGATTAGATATTTGGATCTATCCTAGTTGTTCTTTCCTAATTCTTTTACAATTTCCAAATGTATTATAAATACTGCTATTTTCCCAGTTAATAATCATCAATTCAGACTTCAGAATTTCTTCAGATTTCTTCTTTAATTTTCGCCACCTTTTCTCTCTCCTAGAGAAATCGTGTAGTTTCGCTAGAAACTAGTGTTCGCCCGGTGCTTGCATAGCCAGCTCCGGTTTTCGTTGCTTCCACGCTGCGTCAGGTGGTATCAGAGCAGGGAGTTCGCCTAGTCAGATGGCCAACCAAGACGGTAGCAGTCGCAACCCACCCCGTGACGGAGATCAAGGGTTACAAGCTGTTTGGAGAGCGATTGAAGAACAGCGCACGACCACACGTAACATCAAACAGTAGTTAGCAAAGGTGACTGAACAACTGCGAACCTTGTTACGGGAGGTTGTTCCATGGAACCGAGAAAATCCACATCAGATCGAAGGAGACGACCACGACAGACCACCCATCAATATTGCGTTCCGACGTCCAGTTCTTGACGACGACAGTGAAGATGATTTAGAATTTGGTGGTGCTCCAGTTCTTCCCGGCAACGACAGAAACGACAGAAACTGGCACAATAAAGTTAATTTCAATCCCCGTAGGAATAATGATGAATTTAAACTCAAGGTAGATATTCCTACTTTTAGTGGAGATCTTGGCATAGAGGGACTTCTAGATTGGATCACAGAAGTCGATAGATTCTTTGAGTACATGGAGATACCAGAGGAACGAAGGGTAAAACTGGTAGCTTTCTGATTAAAGGGAGGCGCATCTGTTTGGTGGGAACACTTGAGAGAGACCCGGATTAGAGAAGGAAGGGGTCCTGTTCGAACCTAGAGGCACATGAAACAACTTATAATAGGTAGATTTTTACCCCCAGATTATGAACACTATATGTTTGAATCTTACCAACGGTGTGCGCAGGGTTCTCGTAGTGTTAATGAATATACATCTGAATTTTTGAGATTAGCTGAAAGAAATCAATTATCTAGAAGTGATAACCAGTAGGCAGCCCGTTATCTAAGCGGCTTAAGGCCGTCCATCAGAGATAAAATTGGTGTACAGATGGTTCTCAGTGTGCAGGAAGCAATGAACCTAGCCTTGAAAGCAGAATTGATGTTCCAAGACAAGGCACGTAGTGATAATTATCGTTGGTACAGTGGGAGCGACAACATACCAGCAACTGTCAACAGGAACAAATCAGTCCCGGCAGTACAGTCTTCTCACCCGGCAAGTACAGCTAACGCCGGTAAGGTTGTTACAGGA